CCTCGCAACATATTAACATTTATTACCAACTATCAAGCAAAGCAGCGAAATTGTAACAAAGAAAGAGTGGCTCCCTCATACCACACTGATAATTAGGTTTCTGGTATTTTATACTCAGTAAAATCCTGACCTATCGGGCAATAATAAGGAACTAGCGTACTCACATTCCTGGATTATTTGGGGCATTCTAACAGTTCTCCTCCTTTTCCACATCCTCGAGTCTCAATTCATTGACGTCTCGTTAACAATGGGTAAAAATATTCGTCGTTATTCGCTCAACTTACCATTTTCTTTGCAATCTTTTCCTTTTTTCCACTTTGGACAGAGGCAAAGGTGTTTTCCAAATTCTCTGCAAGCTCGTCCATTGGTGCACTCTACGAGGCAAGGGTTTCCTGCACGCACAAAAGTCAAAAGACATTATTGGATGAATGAAAGTTCTGCTAATGTTTTCAACGGGAGAGACAAAAACTTAATCTCAGAACTTCTCAAACCATGGTATACATTTATTAGTGGATAAATATTTCCTTTTTGATGATGTTTTCATTTATTTATTTATTTTATTTTTTAAGAGAAGCGTTTCACGGCTTAACGTCTCAGCTTTAAAAACTGTATTGGGTTTTTTACTTGTCACTTGAAATTAGAAACTTGGAAATAATATTTGCAACAGAACTATTTAAAAGTTATATTTTAGTGATATCATATCACCGAGGTAAGGAAAGAGAATTCCTGTCAACGAGCTGAGCAGTATTTTATTATATAAAATGTTGTTATTAATCGTGGCTCGCGATGTAAATGTCGCGCTAATCAATCGAGTATTGATCGCGACGTCACGACTTGTTTTACTCCTAGTCAGACGAGAAGGTTGAAAGTTTTACGTGCAACGGGGGGGCGTTGTTTACAAAATCACCTGTAAATTGAGTTGCTTTCGCATAACGAAGACTTATTACAAGGAAGAAAAATTGCCAATCATGAATAAAAAGGGAAGGGGGGAAATGATGATTTCGAATTCACATTCATTGACATGGTACTAAATTAGGAAGGTAGGCTAGTAAGGATACATGTACCGGGCAACTTGAATTGGACGAGAATGCTTGCTGTCTTTGTTGCATTTCCACATTCATTGATGGCCTCACATTTGTATTCACCAGCTTGACTTCTGTTAATGCTTTTAACTTCCAACATGTAACCACTGTGACGCTGACCATTAGGTGTCATCCAAGACACCATTGGGGAAGGCATTCCAGATACACGACACAACAGGGTCACATTGTCACCTTCAATGACTCTCTTATCATCTATCACTTGTAAGGATGAAGGCACTGTAAAGAGAAATAACGTAAAATTAGTTTTTTTTGTCAACCAATTGTGGAAATAAGTCTTAAGTTTATTTTCATTCCTTTAAACATTTAAGAAAGCAAAGCACAAATCTTTCCGGACCAACGCTTGAGTAATGTTATAGCTATTGTCGAGAAGCACGCAGTAAGAGCATGAATCTTGGCAAGGTGAATAATTTGTTACCAAGGCAACTTTCCTTACTCCCTGAATAAGACTGGCAAGATGCACTCGAAATGTCGCAATTTGCGCCGAAAGTGAGTATATTATGAGACAAACAGTAATGATTTCGTAAATATGAAAGCGATCTTCGCAGTAATGAACACTACTTGAGCAACTGTGGAAATAAGGCCTGAAAAAAAATTCAGGCCTGCACGGGATTTGAACCCATGGCCTCTGCGATACCAGTGCAGTGCTTTACCAACTGAGCTAACAAGCCAACTAGAACCTGATTATTATGTTGCCATCCATGCTTTCCTGATAGAAAAGACTTATAATAGCCTGCAATTTACCATGAATATTGTAAGGGGATGTAACTGTGCAAACATTTCCCATATATCTGTTTAGTTTCATCATTCATTGATCATCCTCCTTAAGTGTCAACTTTTGTCTACAACTGAGTACGTACATTTATGAACGTCTCACCAATTCGCTTACCATTCACGGCGACAGTAACACTCGTACTGTATGCTGATCCTAGAGAGCTTTTGGCCACACATTTGAAGACAAAAACCCCTTTATTTTCCAAATGTTTACCCCACATCCCCAAGGTACTTGTGTTTAAAATAGCGCTTTCGTTCTCAAACAGCTGGTATGACGTCACTCCTGGATTAGCATTAGCTGAGCAGTTAAAGCTGATGACTTCTCCCTTACATGCTTTGTTATCCACGACAGAACTCGTCAACTGGACATTCTCAGGTTTGTCTAGGATAGAAGGAAGAGACAATTAGTAAACAATATCTCACTGGCCTCGTAAGTTACATGTACATATTCCACAACCCAGGAGTCTTCTTCCTGCCATGGCTGATGGAATGCTGCCCTGAGTGATGGAATACCCACTCTTTTATATCACTAACATTGCTTTCAACACTGTACCACTGTTTACGATTAATCTTTATGTAGCTAATTGTTGATTAGCAAATTAACCTTTGAGCCAGTTTAAAGGGGCTGTGGCCGTTAGCTTAGCTTAAGGTGGCCTAAGAATCCCGAAGTTGCTTTTCAGTTTACTCAATTATTCCTGAACAAGCTGACATATATATTATGTATATATATATTAAAATTGATAAATATATATATATGTTAATCTATTTTACTACCGTAATGTTATAACCTCTTGCAAAGATCCTTAATTCTGGCTTATACTGTGCCTACAACTAAAATAGAAGTTCCATTTTTCACGGTCATCGGCAAATCAAAATTCACCCTTTTTTTTTGGAATGGAAAGAAGTGTTTCAGTGATGCTGATGAGTCATGTAAGCTAAAAATAAACAGGTATGTCAAAGAAACAAAAGTCAGAAATAATAATTATTGTACTGTGATAGAGACATAAAAGAAAGAATTAATACGCAACAAAGGATAGCTTACTATTACTTACACTGCACATCAATGGTTGCCGTCTCTGTTGCATTGCCACACTCATTACTGACTTCACATGTATATTCACCAGCTTGACTCCTGTCAATGTTTGTAACCTCTAACCTGTATCCACTAACACGTTGACTATCAGGTGTCATCCAGGACACCATTGGTGTAGGCATTCCCGATACGTTACAAATAAGAGTCACATTATCACCTTCAATAATTTTCTTATCATCTATTGCTTGTATGGATGAAGGCACTAAATTACAAGACAAAGTAAATATTACTAATTAGTATACAAAGAGTAAGAATAAACATGCTTTTGAAACTTTATAGGCCCCTTGCCTTGTACAATGTACTCTTAAAGATGCAGTGTTCAACCACAGTTAAGGACAGTTGAGATCATAACGATTCAGTTCGTGCATTACAAATATTGCAAAATTCGTGTCATCATAGGAATTTAACGCTAACTGTCACTCTAACATCATGTACAAGTCTTTTGAATCTCACGAATGGGTTTAAGAATACGTACTTTCTCCTACTTCATTAGCTATGATGTGCAGTAGTTAAGATGGATCGACAACATGAAAAGTTGAGAACAAGAGATACAATGATGTTAGATGTATGTTCTTCATGTAGGAAATACACACTTGCTTAGCTACATGATCCAGAACGAGAAGATGTAGAGTTAACAAGTAAACTGTTCTCTTTTTCAATCTCATATTCAGCCTCAGGGGCTTTCTTGGTGTGTTTTCAATCATGTGCATGTATCTTCACTGTTGAAAACCAGTATACTGTTAGCTGAAATGAGTTGGAATATTATTTTAGCATTCTCTGGTCCTACGCACTGGAAAGGCTCAAAAAAATGTATAAAAATCATTCTTTTTGATGAGCAAAAATTTGATCAAAGGACTCTAGGTGACGTAACTAAACTAGAATGTATCAAAATAAGCGCAAATAACAGGGTCATGCTAAATCTGAGCGTGGCTGATATTATAGCGAATGTTGAAACCTGACAAGATGAATAACTTCGTACCTAGCAACCGCATTCCTCGCAGAAGACTGGCAGGGTGTATTTTGAAAAGAAGACTGGCAGGGTGCATTCGAAATATCGAAAGTGAGTGTATCATGAGAAAAAAGGTAATTTAATTTTTGATATTATAAGTTTGTTCTGTTGTCTCACGACAAAGTCACTTGATGTGGAACGCGACGTTTCGACTGCTTACTACAAGTCTTCTTCGGGCGATGGGGTTGACTGGTTGTGGCACGGCATTATGTACCATGGTGGTTTGTTGTGATTGGTGCATTTCGATCCGGCTATTGTTTCCCTGTACCAAGGTTTCCCCAAGGCGTTCGCTGGTTTTGGTTCAGATTTTTTCTTATTGTGGGCATCCACGCTTCAGGTATTTCGGTTCCGTTGTCCCTGTTTATGTATTTGCGTTGAGTTTTATGTGAATTGGGGAGATAGGACGACCCATGCGGGAAAGAATGAAAGAGCACGACAGGTATATACGACTCGCACGCACTCAGAATTCCGCGGTTTCAGAGCATGCCAACGGAACAGGATACAAGCCGCTATGGAACGAAACCAAATTTATTGACCGAGGAAGCCATTGGTACACAAAGAAAGTGAAAGAGG